TCTTCAAGTCATCTAGGAGTCTTCAGGGAAATAATAGATAAATGACTATTTTAATAAAAAAAACGTCTTATATAATCAATTTATGTCGGTATAAGCACTTGTAAATATAAATTATATGCAGAATGATTATAGATAAATATAGGTAAGTAAAGACAAAGGATGTTCGCCCCAGAACTCAAACCTGAAAGAATTTTATCCACTATACCTTCTATCTAGAAAGCATGGATGTTTAAATATATGCGTCTATATGTTAGCAAAGGCTGTAGGAAATTAAAGTTTGTCTTTATTTTGAAAATGTGGATGTTGTGCTTGTTAATTTTCCTGGTAGAACAGTGTAGATTGACCCTGAGGTTCTGGCATCTATCCACTATCTGCTACCCCTCAGTCTACATTGGTTATTGCCTGGCCACTTTTATAAAATGTTCTGGCTATGCCTCTGCATATATGCAGTAATTTTGGTTTGGTGTTATCAAGATCTAAAAAAAGCGGAATGACAAACCAGAATAGATTAATCAAATTTAAGATAGTTACCCAAAGATAAAATTTTAATGGAAACATAAACAAAATAGACTACAGATAAAAATTTGACAGAATTTCCCGATGTTAAGAGGGGTACCTTTTTGTCTATTATTTTTACACTAAAGGCACTTAAAAAAATAAGTCCCACGGAAGAAGTTTTGATAGTTATTTGTAAGGAAAATGTTATTAAATTAACCATAAACTGGCATCAACTGAAAGTACGTCTGAATACGGTACTTAGATTTATAAGAAAGCTTTTGGACAGAGAAGTGTTGAGACCACAAATTGATGTTTGGCAATGACAAATTCAGCCCACTAGATGGCAGTAACGGCCAGTGATCGTGCTGTGGCTGCGAGCTGGGCAAACAGGTTGTTTATATTTGATAACACGCAAATAGTGATCACATGCGTAAATTATATATATACATATCTATGTATTAATTATATATGTCTGAAAAAAGAAAATAGAAAGGAACAAAGCCAAGAGTAAGGTGGCCGCAGACAGAAAATCCAAAGAAGAAGTCGGTTGCCTAGCGACGTCTGAAAGCATAGTAGCAGCTAGCAACTAATCTTTCGGCTAATGTAAGGATTTCTTCAATCCAAATAGCTCTTAAATGCCTCTGAAAAGAAGAGGACCGCTGCAACTCGTCCAGAGAGAAGTGGACGAAGTCAAAAGAAAGGTTTGTGCCAGAAAGACGTCTTAGTTGTGATCTTATTGCTTGTTTGTTTCGGGAATCATTGGTTATTAAAAACGAACTGTCGTTAAAAACGCTAAAGTTGTCTTTAATGTCACAATCGAGTGCAATTGAAGAGCAGACTTCTTATATATTTTCTTATATAAGTCTTAAACTATTTTGTGAAGTAAAAGAATCTTGTGCAACTCAACCTTGGCACATTCATGTCAAAGTCTTGTTGTTTTACTGTAAAACAGGTTGACGATCTAGAGAAGGAGGTGGAGAGCCAACGTGGATCTAAAGAAGAGGCATTTCAAAGGTGAACTGTATTAATTGACCAATGATATTTATCATATATATAATTTAAATCTAAACTAAAACGTTATCTAACCCGTTTATACCAATTTCGTTTAGGCTTCAATAGGTTTTCATTTTATGTTTGCTTAAATCCAATTATTATTTCAATAGATATCAAGAGCTGCAGCTTTCTGCAGAAAAGACTCTAAAGACTCTACAGACATTAACAAAGGTATGCATGTGCTTTGTTATCACAAAAAGAAAGAATAACCATGTTTTATGATATTTTATCAGCAACATCCCACCAAACAACCTTTGTTTTTTAGCTTTAACCAAATGTACATGGTCTGTTCTTTAGGCTGATGAGCCGGCCCCTGTAGGAAATTATGATCAGAGGAAGCTAGAAGAGGAGGTACGCCTGCAAAATGTCTTGAAGCGTCTGGTTACCTTGTCTCTGAAGCTTTCACCACCAGGTCCCAGCTCTGAAGTTGGGTAAGTTCCTATCACATATGAGGTGTTAACAAATTATAAATCAAAATCAGGATGGTCTTGTGAATTTTATTCAGTAAAAACTGCTTTACTTAACGCCTCCAAAGAAATGTTGATGTCTTCAGAGGAGAAAACTGTGAGGGTTTCGGTATTTTGAACCTTAACCTGTGATGAATTAACCACATTTCCAGGATGCACTATACCATGCTCTACCACTGACCGATGAAAGTAGTGAATATAGAAATTAGTTTGGGATGATTGTTGGTAGGACTGACCTCCTCTTGTATTTACCTTTAGAGACAAGCTCAATAAATAAATAAATAAAAAAAGAAAATGTCATGGCATTTTCTGCAGTCAGATCGATTTGGATTTGGATGTTTCATACATTCACATTTTGTATTTGTCTGATTTGTTTGATAAGCTGTTTTTTGTATTTTTTTTTTTTATTGTAATTGATAAAAAATGTTAAGCATTTTTCTTTTGATTTACTTGAACTTTTTTTCCTGATTTGTATCCGGGGGAAAAAAAAAGCACATGATGAATAACATCCAGTCCTATGCCCTTTTTTCCATTTGTTTGTTTAATTTTGTAGAAAGGCTACAAAAAACGAAGATTCTGACAATAATGATGATGACAGTGATGATGATGATGATGATGATTCTGAGGAAGACAGCGACAGTGATGGTACGGGGACTGGAGGTGGGAGTACATCTGAAAAGCCGCCATCTCAGTCGGGCCCTGAAATGTACACAGTCCTCAGTGATTTCAAGGCAGAGCAGGAAGGAGATCTGTCTGTTCAGGTAAAGCATGTTGGATGTTAGTGATGAGGTGAAATTGTTAGAAAATCCCTTTGGAAAACTGCCAACTTCTTTCCACAATTTCACAATTCCTAGAAATTTTATAAATCTTAATGCAATGTCTGTGAAGTACCTTCTGTTTGTGCTATTTCTTTCTTTATTGTTAGGACTTCCTTTACTATCGTTATGGCTCATTTCATTATTGTTTGTATTGTTTCAGAGTGGAGAAGTGTTAAAAATAATCAAAAAGGCAGCAGATGGATGGTGGCTGGCTCAAGACACCAAAGGGAACAGAGGAGTTGTACCAAAAACCTTCCTTAAGGTACTGGAGGAAACTATCAACACCAGTATTGAACTGAACATCATAATTCAAAATGTTTACAAAGAAAATAAGAAATATTTGCAGTTCTTTGACATGTTTGATGCGTTGACACTGAAAAACCTTTCACTTTTTTAAACCTTTTTATTATTTTATTTTTAACCTTGTTAGATCAGTTCTGGTGTTAACGATGAGGATGATCAGGAGGATGATGATGAAGATGACGATGAGGATGATGAAATCAAGCAGTCAGAACAGGAGGAAGAGGAAGATGAAGATCAAACTGATGATGGAAAAGAAAGGTTTGACTTCATATTTATCCCGGTCTTCCTAGTACTTTTCGAATTACTGAGATATTCTTAAATATGTACGAATATATGGTATAAAACCATCCATGAGCAAGATTCATTTCTGCTTATGTATCTGCCATTTATTTATCTATGACAGCAAAGCTTCCAACTGGTCAACCGTCCGAAAGGCTCTGACTGAGGTAAAAATGGGCACATACTGAAAAGATGAATAATATTATATTCTTAAGATGAAAACTTGTTAAAGTGCTTATAAATGAAATGACTTTTACTATGTGTGTGTGACAGATTGATACAACAGACGTGCTGTCGGCAATGGGTGCCATACCTTCAGGATTCAGGCCATCAAGTCTAACTAAACTTCTGATGGAGGAAGGTCATTACTCATCTTATATTACCTTCTCTTCTGCATATAGTTTTTCTATCAAGTTGTAAGACTGGTTTAAGTAAGGATTCATTATCTTTTTAAAAATATTAAACTCCTGCACTGTTCTCTCAAGTCAAATGAACAGACTGATTAATCCTGATTAAAAGGAGGGTTATTAGGTAAAATCAACCCATCCTTTGGTTTTCACCATAATAATCATAGTTGAGTGTTTATAATCAGTTATACTTTAGAAAGACTTAACCTTTATAGACCAGAGATAGAGTGGGTATGGGCATGTTACATTAGGCTTCTCTGTTTTAAGCCTTGTTCTAAGAAATAGAAATTGAATTGAATTAAAATCCATCACAATCAAATGAATGAAATGCCTAAAATCCTTTGGCGGCTTTAGTTTATTTCATTTATAATTTCATTCTATTTTGGAAAAGAAAATCTATTTAATTTCTATGAATATTATTTAATGTTTTTACTATTATTTTTTTAGACCTTTGCATTTAGATTTTACTGACTGAATTACATGCATTAAGGCCATAAACCCTAGAAATCTGGTAGGTTTTCTAAAACGCATTAAAAACGGTTAATGTCAAGTCTAATGAACTAGCACATTTAAAAACAAGTCATTGTCATCATTTGTTCCCAAATCTTTTTCTCTTTTATTTTTATTTGTGTCTTTTCTTTTTAGTTGGCATGGTTTTGATTTATTAACTTTAGTTTGGAGGCTAATTTTCATCTGTAGTCCCAGATTATGAAACTCAAAAATGTTTTTTAAACCATGAGTTTTTATTCTAAACAAAAAATTCACTTTTACTTTAGCTGTTTAGTGAAAGCAGATTTTTTCTTTTCTTGTTCTGTTGTGTTTTGAAATAATACAAGGGATTAAAAAAAAAAAAAACTAATTTGCCAATTCGTTAGCACAAAATGTGAGAGCTCAAACTCCTTCGGATGTGTGGTTAATTAGTTCATGTTTTTAATAATCCATCCTAAAGCTTTAGCGCTGCAGACTGATGGAGGGTTTGAATATTGAATAATAATACATCCCTCACTTTTTAAAAAATATATATTTTGAATTAAAACAATGAAACCGACAACCTTTTTTGTCCTGTTTAAGGTGAGAGATACAGAGGAAGTCATTATATTCAACCTGAGCTCAGCCAATCACAGCTGTCCTTTAAAGATCTCTTTTTGGACCCGGACACTGGCAAGGTTAGCATTCCTCTTTAAGTATATATGTGTGTTCCTGTGGAAACTAACTTAACAATTTCTTTTGGTGTAACATCTGCTCACCTACAGCTCCTGTTTATTACCTTTTTTTTGCAGGTCCGTGCTCGAGAGGTTAGGAATTGTGTTTGTTTTAATGTGTGGAGCTGCAAGATGATTCCCACACCTGGAGTGGGAGTTCAGGTCCTCAGCAGACACATCCGTCTGTGTGCCTTTGATGGAGCGCAGGTATCAGGCATTTTCTCTCTAACATATGTTTTTGTTCTTACTTTATTTTTTTATTCAAACCAGGCTTTGACCTGTTTTCCAGGTGTTGAGTAACATCCACACAGTGAGAGCATCTTATACCTCCAAGAACCCAAAGACGTGGAGCTTCTCCCCAAGGGTACAAAGAGACTCTGCTGCCTCATCGAAAAAAAAAAAACAACTAGGTCATGTTTAACTCGAGCAATGCTGCTAAAAAAAACAGTTTACTGTTATCTCTGTTTTACTTTTATTAGGTGACCAGCATCCTGCCAACTATCCTGGATGGAGACTGTTTCCTTCGCTGCAGCTCTTCGTCTCCCAACATTGGGATTCTTTTTGAACTTGGAGTCACTTTTTTAAGAAATGTAAGGAATTATATGAGACTGTAAAAGCACAGGAACGTTTTTTTTTTCTTCTTTAATGTAACATGTTGTAAAACTGGACAGTTTAGTTTGGGGCGCATTAATATGATGGGATGTGTGTGTGATTAAGTCGACAGGTGAGAGAGGAGACCTTAGCTGTGGCTGGGCCTTCCTCAAACTGACCGATGACGGCGGGAATCCACTCCCAAACAGGTACAGAATCAGAAGAAGATGCAGGAAATCTTTTTTTGGGAAATTCTTTGGGATCCAGTATAAACATCTTAATATCTTTAAAAATTGCAACCTGGAATTGGACAATTTTTTAAGCCAGTATCAATCTTTTTAAAATATAATCTCCTGTATAGGACGTATGAACTACCAGTGTATGGAGGAACACCTTATGAGAAGGATGTTATGTTGGAAGCAACAGCTTCAAGAAGATGTAAGAAAACAAAGCCAAATGTTTATATTTTAACAAATTACGTGAAAGAAAAAAAGGCAAACGGCTCATTCTTTGTGTTTTCTGTACTTCCAAGCTCCTGGTGGTGTTTTTCAGCAGATGCTGCAGGCCCGACGGCAGCCAAAGCTGATTGTTAAGTTGAAATCGCCTAACAGCCGGACAAGGACCCAGCTCAGGTAGGGGGATCAGGGAAAAAGAGCCAGGCATTGAGCTTCAGCAAATACAGTGGCTTATGTGATCAATAAATCCTTCCAATTTTCAGTCAGACACATTCCTGGCTCTGCTGGGATTTCCACATATGGGCTGCAAGAGATAGCAGAGCAGTTTTAGATACCAGATTTTTTTTTTCTTTCTGCATATTATTTCAGATTAACTTTAGAATAGAGGTGATTATTTTTCTCCTGAAACATGTCCTGTTATATAAAATATAGGCAACAAGTCAGACACATAACTGGAAATGCATTTAAAGCCTGTTTGGCTGCTGTCTCAACACAAATTCTACTTTTCTATTCTATTTTTTACTTGGCAGCATCTTTCAAGCTTAACTAGGAGGATGTTGGCACAGATTTTTCCCATGCATGCGATAGATTAAAATGCTAGAAGGCAGAATTGCATTATAAAAATGGGTTCCAATCATACTGTGGCTCGCATCTATAGTCTGCTCATTTACTCTGATAGCTCTAAATACAACTTTGTATTATCAATTACCTTTAGAAGTCAGCCAAAATGATGAAAAATCAACTCAATCTGGGTACCAGCTGTTCTCCTAAGGACTTAAATGTTTGTCAGAGAACATTAGTAAACAAACAGCATTTTAAAGAATAAGAGGCACACCAGAAATGTTTGGCAAAAGCTTGTGTAGATGTAAAGTCGGGTGAGGTATTCTTTGAGCATTTCATGAGGGTGCATTTTCTGTAAATCAAAAGATTCACGCAACTGACATGGCAGACATGGCTTTTCCATTTGCAATGTCAGCTAGAAGAATGCACATTTTGAACTCCATAAAAAAAATCTGATGTGATCTGAGAACCATGTAGGAACAAAGCAGAGGAAATGCTGGGCTTATATAAAGATTAAACTTCTTGGTCTGCATGTGGAATTGGTGGCAAAAAAACAACATTGCACATAATGATGAAGATTCATAGTAATGACTGAATGGTGCTGTGTGGATGGCACTCTTGAAAAAGGACAGGGGAGCTCAGTTGATGTGATGACAAATAGTGCCGAATACACTGCAACATGAAAAAAAAAAAAAAAAGTTTTGGAGTTCACTTTTAAGTTCCCCCCTGCTTAACATTTGCATAGGTCATGCACTTTTATCAGTTATTAGACAGACATATTGACTTTTTCATCATTCTTATGGATATTTTCCTACCCCAAAAGAAATAAACAACCTATATAGAGGTGTATATGAACACAATTTGAATGGGATGCTGACACAGTGGAAGCGAGATACTGATCTGGTCTGGAACTAAAAATAAGCTAGCTGGAAAGCTTTAGCTTCAAGTTGGAAATCATCACAGCAAACCTACCGCTAGTTTTTAGAAGAAACATTTTTAAAAACAATGATAGAGGTAAAAGTAATCATGATTCCAGGGGACCGTGATTTCTTTGCAGGAAAATAAACATCAACCAACAAGTAAAATCAGCACAATATTGAAATGTTTGCTTTTTCATGACAGGTTGTAGAACAGTATGAAAACCTGTTCTGGTGCTTAGTGACACCTTTATTTTCCTCTTCAGTCTTCTACCAGACACCCTGCTGTACTGTCTGAGCTGCGTCCACCTGCTGGCTCTGTACCGACAGCTGCTGGCCGACACACTGCTAATGGACAGACCCACCATGCAGAATGCAGGTAACGCTCGAAAGACCTCAGTCTGATAACAACAAAAGGCAAACAAAACAACCAAATACTTAATTGTAACTTTCACAGATCTTATATGCAGCCCAATACTTTCAACTTTCCCTATGCTTTTGGACCAGACAGACCTGCTAGATGCCCTCAGGGTAAGAACTGAAGGGATAGTGGTTATGCTTATTTAGTGTAATCAAATTCTGTTCATTTCCTAGAACAGAAGAACCCAAAACTTTACTTTAAATGAGTCTGTAAGACATCCTTTCTTTTTCAGAGTGTCTGGCTGGAAGCTGAGACCAGCATGAGCAGAGCCCAGAAGGTGATAAGTTATGATTTTAGGAGAAGAAAACTGAGGTCTTTATGTGTAATAGCAAAACTAACCTGTAGGGGATGCTGTAGATATGTGTAAGACAGTAGTAGAGAAATCTATGTATGCATAATTAAATCAGTTGTATGATTCTGTGTCTTTACAGAGAGACTTGTCCTATCTGAAGCAGGAGTTTAGTAAAGTCTACCTGTCATCAGTTTATTTCCTGCTACACTCACCCTCACTGTCCTCGTATCGCTGGGCTGATCTGCCCTCAGAGGAGCAGCGGGCCAGAGTCATCTACACGACCTTGGAGGACTTGAAAAACCACCAGCCAACCACTGGCCAATCAGGTGCTCCGGGAGTTTTTTTTGACTCCTCTCATTCTCATCTCGCTTTTGATATCCAGGAGCTGACCTTTGATCTCCTTAGTGCGACACGCTAACAATACCATCATCTCTGTGACTGAAGCTCGCTTTGATTGGAAGGGCTTAAGGTGTGCGGATGACGGCCAGCTATGGCAACCTCCGGAGTAAATTATAGTGTTTCATGGTCGTGTACATAAGACCTTTAAGAATGTGTAGCATTTTCAACATAAGAATAAAGTTTTTCTGTAGCAATAATTCTAATTGTCCATTCTAAAATCCTCCTTATAAATAAAAGGAACATCAGTGAACTAGAAATGAAATCATCCATAGGAAAAAATTATTCAAAATGACATGGTAACCTCCAGACGTGAATGTGTTGAGATAATTTCAGAAATCCATCAAAAAGTCAGAGAGTAAACGGTAAGGTTGAACCTTGTTGCTGCACCTGACTTGCTTTAAGCCGAGGGTTTGGTTCAAATGGAGGTGGGGTTATGATGTTTGTGTTTTTAAGTAGTTTCCTGTGAGTCACCTACATGAAAATTTCTCAATGAAAATAAATTCACCTGAAAATTAGCTTAAAAAGTTCTTGAAAATAAAACACTGTGCTAAAAAATACCTGTTTTAAATCAAATCATGTGTACTCTTTTCTTTTTTTTAAATAAATAAATACAATAAAAATAAGTAAAGCATTTTGCTTTAAAAAGTTACTTTATTTTAATTTTTTTTTTTTTTTTTATTGGTTTGATCTAATACAGCTTCTGCTGGTATCAATTGTCGGTTTGTTCCAACATACTTGAGCTGCTCACAGGGAAAGGTTATTGAGAAGCTCCAGTTTTCCCCACCCATTAGTCCAACATCAGTTATGTAGGTGTGTGTGTGTGTAGTGTAAAGTTACAAGACCACAGAATAGTGTTTAGAGTTAATAATCAGTTGGCAGTAGGTTTTTTTTTAGCCGGGTATAAAAGGAGAGAAGCTGTGGGAGGCTGGTTCAGTCTGAGCTCGAATGCTTAAGCTCATACATCCAATGTCATAACTAAAAGGTGTACTGTGTGATGTTAAAATGAAACTGATTGATTCATAATATATTAAAAAACATTGTTGTTTTTTTATAGATATTTTAGTCCCTGCCAGATATTAAAATTATATACTTTTAATTTAAATGGCAAGCAAGAATGAAATGATGGTAAAAAAGGAAAAAAAAATATGATTTTAATTTTAGAATTGGCACTTTTAACACAAAGCTGAGGTTAATTTAATCTGAAGGAATGTTTAAACATCGTCATGCCTATCTCTGAGGCTTTAGTTCAAAGCCTGAAGTGGTTGAACTGTGTACAGACACGCTTAGAAATAACAAGCCTCTCTGAGTTTTACTGTTTCCATGTGGGTCTTATTTCACATCCTGTATTTCCACATTCCATCATTTTTTTTGTTGTGGTGATTTTAGTTTGGTGCTCTTTGTGATTAGATCGAGTCTAATTCAAAAAGGTTAATTTCACAATAAGTTAAGAATAACAAGAACCAATAAAAAGCCTTCAGAAAATCTACTGAATTACTTTCCTGTAATACTTTTGATTGTGCAATTCATCAGTGCATTTTTACTACTATTACCACTGCATTAAATACTTTCATGCTTGACACACAAAACCACTTAGATTAACTATATTTCATACATTTTATTGTGTAATGTTTAAGTAATCCATCTGAATATTACGGTGAAATTGTCAGAAGAGGAGGGATACTTTTAGAAGACAGGAGGCCTGTTTAGTATTGTCACCTGGAAACATTGAGACGCCCTCACCCAGTTCTCTCTTTGTGCCTCCAGACAAGCATTGACACTGAGAAGGGGGCAGAATTTCTGGAGGGTAAAAAAACAAAACAAAACAGAGGAACAAGGAAGTCAACCCTTTAAAACAAGTTAAAGGATGGAAAGCAGATCTAAATATTTATATATTTAATATTTATCTATCAAGATATGCTGTTGGTATAATTTTCAAACTAACATATGATAACATTTTCAAATATTGTTGGATGCTTATAAATCTTTAGATTAAATTAAAGGAATTAAAAATTTGCTTTAGCTATACATTTTATATGCAGCACTTAAGTGACTTAGTTTGTTTTGTTTACATTGTCCCTGTCAAATAAAGATTATATGACATGAAAATTAAATGTTTCCCTATCATGTTCATGATCTATAAAAGATGTGCATTAATAAAACGCATGTAAAGCTCATTTTTAGACCAGGGCCAATTCAAAGCGCATATCTGAGGACACATTTTTGGAAATATCCACCTGTTTGGTCCTGAACAATATTAGAATCTATTTTTAATCATAAAGTCCAGTTTATTATCTACCTTCATTTTTTTGCAAGTAGACTGTAGGTCACAACAAAGGGTGGCAAAGCATGAACTGTGAACCAAGCTTTTAAAGCTTCATGTTCCTTTTTCTGATATCTTGCCTTAGATATTAAAAAAACCCACAAATAACTCATATTTTGTGGACAAACTTTTTTGCAGGGGTCAAACTAGTTACAAAGCATTTTCCCCTGAGGCTCACAAGGATATAGCAGAGCAGAAATGTGCAAACAAAAGGGGTTTTTACCATCATGCTAACATTTGATTTGTCCCACCTATTCTTATCTGCTAATCTTTATGCCTGAGATCATAGTGAAAATGCTTTGAGTTGAATATTTGATCGTTTTTAACTGATGGAATGCACTGGGTTTTGAGAATGCACTTTCCATTGACACAATGCATTCTTTATTGTTCCCTGTGGATGAGTGTTACACTGCCAAGCGACACCCGACTCCAACAAATATCTATTGTATTTTTCACAGAGCTGGCAAAGTTCCCATGGCGGTGTCTGCATAACCATGTATGCCTGGTTTGTAACCAGATCCAAACGCAAGGAACTAGTCCAAGGTGTACCTTTTAAAACACCTTTTCTTAGTATGTAAATAGACCAAATATATCATTTGATAATATCATCTAAAATAGATCAGAACATTTTACTTATCTATGTCAATGAATAATACTATTAAACAGTTTTGTTTAAAAGATTACATAATGTAATTACCTTGGAATAAATATTATAGCTACAAAAGATTATTGAGAAGCTGTAGCTGTCTCATAATGTGATGTTTTATTGAGTTGAACTGATTTTCACTGTAATTTGCTGTTAACTTATGATTAACAATTTCTGAACTGCTTTAGAAACTCCCAGCTTCAGTCGCCATTTTTGACTGAATTTCTCTCAAATGGATGTTGGAATATTTTCAGGGATATGTTCAGATATTTATCAACAATGGCAGGATAAAAATGTGAAATATATACCTAGTCTAAATATTTTCCAATCACAGTTACTGTAAAGAGTTTCTTTGTAGAAACCTTTGTAAAAATAATTGCCCCAAAAAGATGTTGAGCATCAGATCTACTGTACAACATTTCAGTTAGAATTTTAGTTATGTTGAGGTTTGGTTAAAGTAAAAAATGTTCATGGCCTGATTTCACTATAGTGTCTGCATGTTTTAGTTTTGGTATATCTGTGGCTATATGGTATTATTCAGTCACTTAATGAACAGTTAGTCCATTGGTTGAAAAAAATTGAAAAACACTTCTTAGAAATTAT